GATTCGCGGCTAAATTGAGCGTATGGTTGTCTCATGAACTGTTCCCGAACTGATCGCTGTTCTAGCGGACCGAAATGTCGCTGTGGTGGACGTTCGTGGTGGACGTTCAAGTTGGTTGGTTTCGAAGCAGACGACTCTTGGCTAGCAGACGATAGTCGGTTCCTCCGGGCCTCGCGCCTCGCATTTGTCGTAGTGACACATGCTCCCGTGACGTCGGCTCACGTGCCTCGCTCCGGCGCTCTTATTTGGTCGCGGGGCCCTAGCCTCCACAGTTCGTCAAGTTATCGTGAAAACAAATTTATATTTTGATTTTTTTTTTTTTTTGACAAAGAGGATGTTATTTTCGTGCAACATTCTTGTCATTTCTTTGGTACATTTATGCACAACTACACAGCTAGCATAAGTGTTCGAGAGAACTAAACTGTCTACTGTGCAATCGATGCTAATGAGGGATTACACAGGAGTGGAAATCAAAGAAGGCATTGTCTTGTAGTTGGGCAGATCAGCACATGCAACTTAGTGTAGTATTCGCACTGGCATAAAAGAAGAAAAAAAAAGTATACCTGTGCTTCACAGTCCATAAGTCCCCGATTTCTCGTGTCACGCGTCACTGCTTTGCATAAGCGCTCTCGCGTCAAGCTTCACCGCTTTGTCCTAGCGTGCTCGGCGAAACGGCTGACGAGGCGGAGAATCTCGGTTGGCTCGAATTTTCGGCTCACTATATTTTCTTCGGTAAAAATGATAGTTCGACCCCTAACTTTAAAAGATAATGTCAGAAAAAAATTAAAAAGGAATTTGACTAAATTTGGGGGGGGGGGGGGGGGGGGAGGGGAGGGGAGGGGAGGGGAGGGGGAGGAGGGGAGGGGAGAAAAGGAAGTTGCGGATTACAAAAAAAGAAAAAAAAAAAGGTATGTGATAGCTCAAGTTCTAGGATGAACGAAACTGTGCTTTACAAAAAATTTCAGAACTCAAAAATTCTTTAGAAAAAAAAAATGATGTGCCACCTGATCAGTCAAAAAGTCCATTTGATTGTTTCGCAAATTTGGGTGTTTACAAACTGTGGAGTCCCTTCACACTTCGAATATTTTTTGAAGCTTTTAGAGACGATTACAGACTATTTCTAGAAAGAAAAAGTTTATTTTTATCTTTTCTGGTTATCTTTTTACAAAATCACAAACTTGCTACCGCGAGCAATTGTGCCTCGATTTCAGATTATCGTAAAAACTGACACGGTAAGAACTACGACGCGAAACTACCATTAGTGTGTAGCTTTAAACATAAGCTATCCGATTATATATTGTTTGTCTCGGTAACGTTTTGTGAAATTATTTTTATCGTGCTGTAAACTTGCTAAACATCTAAAAAAATTTGACATTTTGGGGGTCGATTTTTTTACAAAGGTCATTTCTTATTTTCCAAGTTTTGGTGTCGGTTTCCAATGATGTCAACATTCACCGTATATAAATATTTGTTGACGTGTTTTTTTTTTTTTTTTGTATTTTAGAGACAACCAGTTTTATATGCCTCTTTTTTGCTCTAACCAATTGTAAAGGACCTAAAATTTTGAGATATTTGAAAATGATTTTTCTCAAAAAGTCCAATATTTATTTTCTTCTATTTTTTTTTTTTTGGATTGCCAATAAGATACAAAATTGCTGAATATAAATATTGGTTGACGTTCTTTTGCTGTGTTCTCGGGACAACCAGTTAAATTAGTCGCCTTTTACTTGACTCGCAATCTTCGACTCGAGAATGCTGACTTCACCAAACATTCTTGGTGGGCTCAATGATAAGAGATGTTGCAAAAAACTACTTTATCATGATGCAATCTCTGAGTCGAAAAAATCGTCTGCTATTTGACGCCGGCTCTCGGCGCCGTCTGCTCGTTCGTTGGTGGCAGTTGGCGTCGCGACCGCTTGCGCCATCTCTTGTCTCCCGTGCGAAACGGCGCCGTGTTGTCTGAAGACCGGTGGCTTCGCTGCGTTTCCATATGAGCTAAGCCTTTTTCTTTCTTTACTTTTTCCTCCGGTAACTTCGCTCTGTGAAAATTTTAGAAAAAGAAATGCACCATCTGCGGGCAACGCTGCAGAAGATCGTAGCGCGATAGGTTAAGAAACCGAATTTCGGCGGTCGATTTAAAGAGCCTGGCCCCTACTTGGGACACCCGGTGGTTTAAAGGGATACTACAACGAAATTTCGGCGCTCATTTTTTGGTCTATATGTGTTCAAAAGAGCAGTATCACATGGAGCATACCAATATCTTGTTAAAAAAGTCTCGAAAAGGAATTTTAAAACGAATTAAACGATTCGCAAAGAGCACCTGGTAGATTTCGCTAACGCCTCGTTTGTAATGCTCGTCTAGGAACCTTGACAGCTAGTGACGGAGATTGTCTCGTCTCCGGCCACGACCAGAGAAGGGGGGAAGGAGGAACTCCCCTCTTCCCGAGAATCCCTTTTGTGTGTCGCAGAAGTCGCTATTGTCCCCCTAGAAGATTATAGAAGATTAACCCGTCACTCAAAATTCGTACAAAAGCAGCCGCTTCGGTGGCTGGAACGACTAGGCCATCCTCTCGACGTCAGCCTCGCCGTAGCTTTGCTCGTCTTGAGACGACCTACGTCACGATTGCGTTGGATGTCACGTGCTCTAAGCTGGGCCTTCTCCGAGCGCTTGCCAGAGTGGGCCGTTTATAACGAAAAATACAGCCACCAGGATCAAAATACAAACGTGCGATTGTCATTTACGGATATTGTGGATCATATTCAACCTATTTTTGAACACGACGGGAATATTTCAAATTTCGTTGAAGTATCCCTTTAAGTAGCTACACACTGATGGTTGTTTCAAGTCATGGGTCTTACCGGTTCAGTTTCTACGACAATCTAAAAATGAGACAAAATTCCTCAAGGTAGCAAATTTGTGATTTTGTAAAAAAAAATAGCCATAAAAGCTAAAACTAAACATTTTCTTTCTAAAAATAGTCCGTAATGGTCTTTGAAGGTTGAAAATACATTCGAAGTGTAAAGGAACTCAATAACCTGTAAGCAACAACCTAATTTTAAAAAAAAATAATCTTTTTGTTTTATACCATTAGGTGACAATTTAGAATTTTGTTTTTCTATAAAACTTCAGAGTTAAATTTTTTTTAAAAGCACAGTTTCGTTCATCCTACAACTTTACCTATCAGATATAATTATTTAAAAAAAAAAAAAAAAATTGAAGACCCCCTTTCCTCATCAAGTTTAGTAGTCAAATGCAAACGAAACCACCCTGTATAACTAAGGAAGTCATTGCTTTGCTTGTCATGTTCCATTGTATTTTACCTGACTCGTCTTATCAGGGCCTTTGTTTTCAATAAACGTGTGGGAATTGTCTTTCATTCAATAAACCTTTCTTTTCATAGGCATGTTTGTGGAGAAGGAATTTCAACTGTGATTTATGAAATTTTCTGCATTGAATTTGCATGGAATGTAAAATATTCATATTCGAAAATATTGGATGGGAATCACAGTCAATTTTGAATATTTATATATAGTTGATTCACATCCAAAAATTTGATATTCAAACACTACTTTTTTTTTTAGTAGGGCTTAAACTTTGCTGTTTTATGTGAGATAGCTTTTGTTGACTTCCATTCAGTAGTAATCTGGCCTAATTGATTTGGCTGAAAATACACTGGGGACAGTGGGGATGTCCCAAAAGTAATTTCTTTGTAGTATTGCCAAATCTGCCTAGCATTCTTGTTACTCAATATATTTTGCGGCTTCTTACCCGTTTGACTTACAAAATCAATCTTTTGCACTGTTCATACTCTCTACATTCTAAAACAATTTTTCATTTGAAATAGTGAATCACTGCCTACAGAACTTTTATTTCGCTCAAAGAAAACCCTCAGTTTGCAATTGCAGCTGTCTAGAATTGTATCAAAATGTTGTTGTCCAAACAGTGCAAGACATGTGGACAAGCAAGACTACTAATGAGTACACATACACAGTACCTTGTGTGTCTGCTTCTTTGTTTTGGTTTTGCAGTTTTTTGTTTTTTTTTGTCATGATGCACCAGATACACAAACTACTGTGGCATCATGAGAGATAGCCCACCTAAAAGCGACAGCAAATCTGGTGAAAATATGGAGTAGGCTAACTTTTGGTGAACGATCAACAAAAAGTAAAAAAAAAATGCTAGTTTTAGATTCTGTGTCGTGCAAAACTTGTGATTGCAGGGAGGAGCAATGAACCAAAGACGACTGTCCTTCGCGGTCAGCAATGTTTGCTTACGTCCCCTCGTGGCTAAGTAACACCATTTCTGCTAAGGTTACCATTGTCTAGGGCCCTGCAATTACTAGAAATGGGCTATCTTTTGGTGTTTCTGAAAAAGGGCAAATCCTTCCAAAAGTAAGGGTGGGCATTTCTTGGGATATTACCGTAAGTGTATTTTTTAGGGGACGCTTCTATTTTTTAGGGGATATTTTCTGAGAAGGGCACAACCCATATCTCAACCAAATTTCCATTTATATGTGGATGGGTGTCCCACAGTCTAGTGCAAAAAAACGATTATTAACGTTTGTATTGTGTTGTTTGTCCCTTTTTTGTCTATTAGTTTTATTAATTGAGCTACATATACTCTATCTAAATGACTCTACTACAATAAGGTATTCAAAAAGTAAAGTATGCAATGTCACTGAGATAATACATTAATTTATAATGTTTTCACATATGTATACACACTGTGCATGCTTAGATGAGTACAGTCTGTCGGGTTCAGGCTCAGGTTTGGACACGTAACGCTATTTATGGAAGGACGTATACATGGTTACATGGTTTAAACATCTAGCTCTCTCGAGCACCGACCGGAAAGTGTCCCTCTCAATTGCGTCCGCCTGGTGGCACCATCTGGTTGCAGTGGTGCTCACAACAAGTTTTTCTTACACTAGATGTCATTCTCATAGTGGCATTGTGTGCTTAACAAGGGATGCAGAATTGTATTTTTTACTGTTTTCTAGGAACCTTCGCCAATGACTGAGGATATGCTGGAGCAACATGCAGATGCTCTGGTAAAACTTGGGAGCAATCCTGAAGGCGCTGTGCTGCGAGCTCGGATGCAGAGTGCTTGCCTGTTCTCAGACATGGAAGCTTTCAAAGTAGGTGGTTACCGTCAGCAGACTTGTACACGTTACTGAAAAATAGTAAGGAATTACATTTACAATTACTCGAAGCTAAATTGTAATTTATTACAATTACAATTACCCTCCCATGAAAGTAACTGACCGTTACCCCAAAAAGTAATCCGTTACTTTCGTGGCGTTGCTTTTAACATTATTGTCTTCAAGTAAGAAACAAATGGAAGAGGGTTATTCAATTTCTTATTGTTGCCGCCTGTTCCATTTAATGACCTTGAGTATTTTGAGCAACAGCTAACTCTCGAAAGTCTCGTCAGACATGTTGCGTTATTTCTTACTCAATATGTCGACTGCTACGCTGAAACCATTTAAGCTGAGGCACTGGATGGGAGCGCCCTATTTTTCCTCACGAATGCTTCATGCTCTGCATTGAGCTTTTTCAACGAAGCAAGGGAAGTACTATTTACCTCGAATGTAGAGCAAAGCTTCGTCGTTGCAGCCGTTCCTGCTATTCGAGAGATTTAGTAGATCATTCCGATACCTCCGATACTCGCAATAACGGTACCCGATAACGATATGATGCATACGCAAAGACGGCGGCGAAGTATCGGATATTGTTATCGGAGTCATCTGACCGATCTACTAAAATTCTCCATTGTCTAAATGGCGAAGTTGTAGAAGTCATCAATAGCAAAACATAGTTGTAACAGTAAGGTGATAATTAAATAATAAATAAGGTTTGGCTCGATATTCTTCTTCCTTTGGTTCTGAACAGTTCGAGCCTCACTTGAGACGTTGGTCAATAAAAAAAAGTTTCCAGTATATAAATATAAGTAATAAAAGAAAAAGAAGGACACTCATAACAACAATTAATTAGAACGTCAGTTAAAACAAGAAAATGTAGACGCACGTTTGCTGTGTGTACCTTTCTTGGTGCCGTTCAAAAACGCACGGAGCACGGACCGACTGCAGTTTACTCCGGTGTTCTCCAGATAGACGTCCACTGATGCCACGGGCAGCAAAGGGTAGAGTACTAAGTAAGCAGCGCTATGGCCCCACTCACGAATTTCACTCTCTCCTCAAGCCCAGAATATCAAGTCTACGTCAGCCGCCGTTATGTTTTATTTGTAAAAATATCTGCTTGAGTTAAGATGCGTCCTGCTGGGGCAAAACAGGAAGAAGAAGAAAGGAAGACTATTACCATTTTCTAAGTGCTCGCAAAAAGCTGACTCACAAAAAGGGTAGGGTAGAGGGAGCGTTGTCTCGTGTTGTGACTTTATGAAAATGGTCGTAGTCACTATATCCGAGAAGGACATTGTTAATTCTTTTCGGCGCGCTTACTGCCTCGAGCTTCTCGAAGAGGCGCACAATCACTTGGTGCCCTCCTCTCCCCGTCTTCGATCACAAAGAAAAAAACAAAGGGACTAAAAAAGAAGCGGAAATAACTTGCCCCCCCCCCCCCCCTTTTTTTTTGTAGAATTGTTTATTTGGATTTTTTTGCATTGATGTTAGGGTCTAAAAAAAAAGATAGACTCAGGGGCTTGGTGTTGCAAAAAAAGGCTTTGCGGAACTGAAGAGTGCCAAGCCTCCCTTTGCTGTGGTCGATTCCCGTGACAGTGTCACTGCGCTCGATTTTACAAAAAAACAACAAAAAAACTTTATTTAGAATGAGGGGGGGGGCTGTTTTGACAAAAAAAAAATGTAACGGATTACAAGGAATCCGTTACGTCAAAAATGTAAGGGAATTACTTTAAAATTACTCTAGAAAATATGTAATTATTCCGTTACTAAATTACCGATAAATGTAAGGGATTACAAGTAATTCCGTTACTTGTAACGAATTACGTACAAGTCTGACCGTCAGTATAGTTGCAACCTCTGGTCCTTCGAAAGTCTTAGCCTTTAGATTTGCTTGGGATTATAGTGACCAACTTTTTTGGAGATTTGTGTTATTAGTGCAAACACTCTTAAGGGCAGGAGCTCTGGCAAAATATAAATCGATTTTTATAAAATTTTCACCATCCAGTAACTATCCACCCTTGATTATGTCTACAAAAATAACTTGTCAAAATAATAATTTTCTTTCGAGAAAGTAAATTTTGAAGTTTATACGTACACATAGTCCGTTATTTTCCACGGACGATCGCAAGGGCCTTTTGACTGCTTCTGACGCTGAGTGAAACAGAATCAAGCTGCCCATGTGCTGATGTTTATACATCTGACGTCACAACAAGATGGCGGATCAGTAAAGTTGCAGGTTTAGTTTCGGTTCTGGTTTTATCGTATTTCTATGATTAAAAATTATTTAAAATGTTTTGAGGAAATTAACTTGTTGCTCTAGGCTCAGTTTCTTGCACTTTTTGAAATATACGGCTGTGATTACACATTTGAAAGTGGCCACCGAAATGCGAAACTGAGCACATCGGAGGAGGTGTTGCTATTTTTATGTCTTCGGTGAACTATAAACTTTATGTTTACATGGTGTTTCGCTTTGCTGGGCTATTCACGTGATGCTCACTTTGCATACGGGCTGCTCTGGCGGTAGTGCAAATGGGAGCACTGGCTCTTTTGATCCAGACTTGCAACGCTTTTCGGAATTAAATTCAGATGATGAGAGCTTATCATCCGATGGAAAAGCTCTGTAAAGTACCTTTGGTTAGGAATTTGAAGCCGCTGGAATGTCGCGGAAGCAAATGCACCAAAAATAAAACCTAATGGAAAAATGGTGACAATGTTTCGCCTTCAATATTTTAATTTGATGCTTTTAAACTCAGTGTGGAAGCACTCTACACGCTCCCGCTAAATAATTTAGTTAAAACCTGTGCATTGATTTTTTCTTTATAATATTTCTTTGGAAACAAAACCCGACCGCTCGTGAACATCTTTTGGGGAAAAGCTTGACCGTCAAAGGGTTAAGAGTCTCACATTTTGTGTTTGCAACATAAGCTTTAAACTTCTATCTAATGACCTTCAAAAAAGGGTATTTTTTTGCAATTAAGACATCAAGTTGCCCGATCACCTTTAACCCCGGAATAGGGGAGCGCGTTCTCAGACACGCAGAAATTTTCACTGCAGCTTGAGGGGCGAGGCGGCAGGGCGTGGCGTGGCATGTATAGACGTGCCACTCTTCAGTTGGTCTTGGGGAGTGCGTCTTTAAACGCTTGCTCCTTTTATTGCTTCGGAGGAAGCACCATCTATCCCCAAACATAGGGAATAATTTTGCTTTAGAAACCATTGCATAGGTGGCAGCACAAAAAAAATTTCAGATATGTGTGGTACCAAACATTATTGGCAAAATGGGGACAAAAAAGGTCCCATTGTGCCAATATTTTTGGTCATGGAAGTCCACAGTCAAAAGGGGTTTGTGCTCATTATAATAGGTGTAAATTGAATATAAATGGTGTGTAAACTTGAAGGCTGGATAGATTAAGCTTTAAGAACTGGAAGTGTTATCTTTTGCAGTTTGATATAACACTGCTATTGGAGATGATTGGAGTTTGTATGGAGTAGAGCCTTGAAAATACTATTTCAAGATGTAGAAACACAGAAATCACAGAATATCTTTCTGTAATTACATAAAATGAGAGCATAGAAACTTTAGATTGTACGATCACACTGAAAACTAGCACTGCAGGACATCTTCGCAGAATTACATCAGCTAATGTCCAATTTTTTTTTTCTTTCTTTTCTGTTGACATAAAATGTTTTACAGTTAAAAATTATGGACTTTATTATCAAAGGAAATAGTGTATAAACTTGCCATGAGCAAGCACTCTTTGTCTAAAAAGCAATTAATCTGCCTCCTTGGCATTATACATTATTTTAGAATAATTTGAAACCTGTGCCCTAGGCTTATTAATATCAAAAATAAATATGGTGGACACTATTTGAACTACATCTTGTATTATCACAGAGTTGGCAAGGCATGAAAGGGTGCTTCTTTTGAATAACTTTGGGAAAACAATCAATGTAATAGCAAATTAAAATGGAAAAAAGAAAGGCCTTTGGTACCACTTTCTAGATTTCACCAGCTTTTGGACCACATTACGGCTGGGAGCTGGGAATTTTAGGATTAGTAGCCTTTAATGCCGGGTAATTACGACATGCATAAAGTTGTGTGTAATATTTTTGCTGGCTTAAAGTGATTATATATAGTAATATTTAACCAAAGCAATTATAAGCTTCCTCCTGGCACATTTTGATATTTTTCTTTGTGCTCATACATGCTTTTGCACTACTGTCAAGTTATTCATCTCCTTTTCGTGCTATTACATCTATACTATACTTGCGGTTCACACAAATATGCTCAAGTGCTCTTATGCTTTAGTTTTCTTTCTGCATTAAAATTTACTGCCAGGCTCAAGGTTAAAAGCTGATTGTGATAGCAAGCTGCTTGAAGAGCCAGCATTGAACCGTCTTAAAGAACCTTGAATTAAGATCTGCTAAAGGAGTGGTATGGTGATTTCGGGGTTAAGGACGTATCCATGCATATGCAGAAAGCCTGTTAAAATTGATAGATTTAAGGTTCTGAGCATATTTGTTATGGTTCTGCTTTCAGGCTGCCAATCCTGGGGCCACGCTGAGTGACTTTGTCCGATGGTATTCACCGCGGGACTGGATAGCTCCTGTGGTAGACCCAGTGACAGGAAAGACGCTGGAAGAAGGTCACCTGAGTCACCGCATGCAGCTGCCTGGCAACACATGGCAAGAGGTGTGGTCCACAGCACGGGCCGTTCCTGCGCACCGCCAGAAGCGCCTCTTTGATGACACCAAGGAAGCAGAGAAGGTTTGGTTCAGTCATTCTAAGTGAAGCCTTTTGGTGTGTTATTGGTAGGGTGACAGACGTCCCGTTTTGGCCGGGACAGTCCCGTTTTTGAGGTCCGCTTCTGCCGTCCCGTCTTTTTCTCCCAATAAAGAATCATGTCCCGGTTTTGCAGGAGTGCATAGTTTTGAAATTGGCACCAAGCGGGTTTAAGCAAACGGAAACTATGCCTACTCGTTATAAGCATAGTTTACAAAAAGTACCATAGGTACCTTAAAGTATTTACCCAGAGAGTAAAATTTAGAACTGCTCTTGCCCGGGCACAAACACCTTCCAAATGGGTGTGTGGAACTGAACTGTGAGTGTGACTGTTCCAGGGCTTAGTGCAGTATGGAAAAGTTTAGATATAGGACCAGTTATTTAATTAAATTTGTTCTCCCAATCTCAATCTTTTGTACCCCCCCCCCCCTCCCCCCGGGCTGGGTGTCCAGTTTCCTACCTTGAGGAATATGGTGACCCTAGTTATTGGCAATCAGGGGGAATTGTCGGAAGCAAGTAACTAGCCAATGATGGCCATCTGCTCATGAAGGCATATTCATGAAGCTGAAATGATAATCAAAGGTTCATGTATGTATTACAAAAAATGATAAATTTCTACAAGTTTGTTTGCCCACTCTGAGGTAGTACTATTGTGAACAATATGAGCTGCAAAAGTCCTTCATTATTTTGCCAATGTATTAATAAACTTTGTTCCAAACTGTTTGATGGAATGGGAAGCTTAGGGCCCATTCTATAAACTGTATGACAAGTTGAGAGATACTGTAAAACCCTTAATGTTCGCGAGCCCTTAATTTTCGCGAATTGAAATATTCGCGGAATTTAAGGGCACGCGAAAATTTTGATCCTTAAGAGTTTATATGAGGGCGTCTGCAATTCGCGAAATTTAGTGGCGGCTATTATGTCCTCTGTGACCAATTCGCGAAAAATAGGGGCCGCGAAAATAAAGGGTTTTACAGTAAGGTAAAGTTGTGGGGATTGCAAATGCAGAAAAAGGCTCGATTAGGTGTTTCGCTCATATTGTCCATGACGTGCAGTGGCATCGGAACAGGGGAGCAGTGGGGGAGTGATCACCGGTCCCCCATATTTTGAAAATTTAATGTTTAAAAACAGCAGGGTGGTCTCAAGCTCACTTCAGGTTCTTCCAAGCTTGGTTAGGTTTGTGGAGTGCTCAACAAAACCAAGAGGCCAACTTCCACTATCCACAGAACTGTCAAGAAGGCAATAGGTGATCAGATGCTGCCAGATGTGGGTTTCTTTGTTATCCAACGAGTGTGCTTTGTCAAACCCACTGTGTAGCTTGCTGCATTTGCAGCTACGGCAAGTCCATCCGAGAACTGCCTTGAGATTCTTTTTTTGGGAAACAAGCAGTAACACAGTGCACTCTTGAAAGATGTGCGATAGTTTCGCCAACACGCTTGACCCGAAGGCTCAAAAGGCTGAGGTAACGGCGCTCTGCTTCTATTGGCAGAGTCACCTCTCAGAGTCCACACTGCCACATCAGGCAGGTGGGGAGGGCCAGAGAAAAAATGGGGGGCTCCATCAAGCAAGGAGGACCTTGACCTCCTCATGACCATTAGTCTCCTATATTATGCCCCCTGGCCTCACCCCATTAGTGTAGCTTTCGCGACTTCTTTTAAAACACATCTGTAAATTCTGAAAAAAAAACAAAAAAACACCCTGTATATTGTATAACCAGTTCTCAGCTTTGATATATTTTGTAATAATCAGGGAAGTTAATTGAAATAATCAGGGGATACCTGGAGAGGTCAGTGAATTTGAAAGAAATAATTTGGTAGACACCCTGGAACTACATCTTCCTTGTTTGAGTTTTATATTTTGAAAAGCGTTGTAGTCATATGAAATAAAATAAGCATGTTTGTGTTAGCTAGTGAATTTCACACAAAATGCCTATCTTGCAGGTTCTTTATTACCTGCTGTCTCTGCGCCCAGCTGAAATTGTGAAACACCTGATGCCGATCTTGATTCACTGTGCTCTGTCACATATTATTGACAACGGTAAGTATCAAATTTCAAGTCTATGATCATAAGCTAAAGTTAAAATCTTATGTAAATCAAAACTGTAAGCAGCACCCACAAATATTTATTATATTTTCGAGATCAGCAGTCCTCAACTGGTTGTCAGACTCCAGCAACATTGGTGGGGGTCCGCATTGGTTCGGGGACCGCTGCACCGGGGTACTGAAGGCATTGAGAAAGGTTAAAATCGTCAATCTGACTGTCTTTGTAGTAGTAGATTTCTCACGAGTTGCAGGGTGCTCTTGCAAGTGCATTATTAATACCGTCTTTCAATTGGAGAAAGCACTTGGGTATATGCGTTGCCATTTTCGCTTTCCGCTGTGAGACCCCTTAGTCCAAGTTTTATTTATTAGGGTTGTGCGAATATTCGAAATTTCGAATAGTAGTTCCGAATAATACACTATTCGATATTCGCTTCGAGAAGAACTGCACTATTCGCGTTTTTCGCAGTGCTGATTGCGGCGGGTTAGCCCCGTTGAGTGCGCTTCTCACCAAGCACCGGTGCGCTGCGGAGAAGCAATACCCGCGGAAGCGAGCTCTGCGGGTGTTGCTTCTCCGCAGCGCACCAGTGCTTGGTAAGAAGCGCACTCAAAGGGTAACCTGCCGCAATAAACACTTGGAAAAGTATGAATATCGTAATTGCGTGCTTGGAAGTAAAGCATACATTCAAAGCGGGATGGAGAACCTGTGCCGACTGTGTGATATCTACATTGTAGTTAAAGTTTCAAAATTAAACTGTTACGCAAGAGTATTATACTATGTTAGGCAGAGATGCCCTTACAACCTGCATTCATCGTGCACGATTCATTCTTTTTTAACTCTAGATTAAAGAAAGTATATTTTATATAACAAGATTTGTAAATTCACTTCTTTGGGTATAGTTGGCCATCTCTACAGGATTCATTTTATGTCAAATCTGTCGTTTACTTGCCATCCCAAGACACCAGACCTTCTGAGGTCACAGTTCATAAATATAGATAGATCAAACTTAGTTTATAAATAAACAAGTGGAACAACCTTCACAAGTTTATCTGGGTTTTTGTCTAAGTATTATGCAATGGTAGTGAAAGGCGTGGGAAAACTTCGATATTCGAATCGAAAAAATTCGGGCAAAACCACTATTCGCTTCGAACTCAAAATTCACTATTCGCACAAGACTACTATTTATTCATTTATTTGTTCAAAATACCTGGAGGGTCTATTCCTGGACATTACACAAGGGGGATTTAGTCAAAGTACACTATAAACACCACTTTTAAAAGCACATACATGAAACAAAGGATCTCACATTCTCTCAGCCACGAACAAGTTCAGCAGAAATACAACGCAGTTTTTACATTTGAATACTTTTTTGGGAAGAGCGCCACCAGAAATGAAAATTTGTGTATTGTACAAAAATGTAAAACACTAGGTAAGAACGTCATGAGGAATAAAAACTACCGTAAATTACCGAGCAAGCAACCACTAAAAATTTGGAGATAATTGCAAAGAACTAGGGGATGGGCACATGTGAGGTCATCAATTTTACATATATATATATGTACTGTGCATATTTTTTCAGACGTTTCAAATTTTGGGGGTGGCATGCTTAGTGTGGAATGGGTATTCCATGGTATTCCATGGTATAGGACACCAAGTAATGTAGGATAGCAGCTCGAAATGCAGCAGGGTCTGAAAGTGAGCTTATGTTGTCAGGGAGACTATTCCAGTGAATGACTGCATGCACAATGGGGAGTTCTTGAAAGCAGATGTATGTCCGAAACATCCGCAGGATGTAGAAAACAATTTGTGTGCAGGATATGGAAAACATTCGTCCACAGGATGTGGAAAACAATAAGTATGATTTATATTTAGTTGGATTGACAACTTCGACATTCTCTGATTTCCAGCGACGCAAGTTTTCTCGGTGTATGCAACACATCATATAAACATGTTCACTGAAAGTCTGCAAATGACTCCTAAGATAGTTGGGGGGGTCTGCAGCAACTCAGAGTTTGAGAACTGCTGTTCTAGGTTACTTTACCTCATTGCTCAAATTAAGCCGTGAGGCCACCTAACACCGAAGTACAGTTTAATGCAGGCTATAGAGCTGTGTATAAGGTGCTGAATACGGGCTGTGTAATATATAGGCTTAGCATTATGGCTGTTGTGGAAGCTGTCTCTCTTAGAGAGACATTGGCTACCAGTCTAAGGCTTCTCATATACTATATAATTGATATGGCAGCCATTTATTTGCATTGAAAAATTAGATTTTGGAAGAAAAATTTGATTGCTGTTTGAAAGTTTTTAATTTTAATTTGTTTTTATGTGTCGTGCAGCTCATAATGGACCACGGTCCCTCACCACATTCCTGGAGCAAGCCGTAACCAAGATTGCAGCACAGCTTCGGACAAAAGAGCCAAAGTTTAGGGTAAGAGTGCATAGTTGAAGCACCTACAGCTGTTCTGCCGCATGCTTGTTTGAATTGGAGAGCAGCAGCAACAGTTTTAGACAATCAGCAAAACAAACTACATTTAATACTAATGAGAAACAAGAATAAAACCACAAATGTAGAGAAACAGAGCCAGAGATTGCATGACACACTTCTTATCACTGTCTATATGTCTAGGCAGTGATTCTTATTTTTATTTCTGATCATTTTTTTTTCTACCAAATTTTAGGAAAACATTGCCCTAGTTAAATTTTGAAAGATTAACTTTGGGTGCTTTCAGCCTTAATAAACTCCCACAAAAACCTGTTGTATCATTGACATACTTGACATCCCGCAGTATTTCACCAAAATGGAGAGGGGGGGGGGGGGTGCGGTGTTTGGCACAATATTGGTTCCATAGTCCATTTCTCTTTCTCTCCAAACCTCTGGCCTCACTACGCTGCCACATCGCTAGGATTGACTTGTCCAAATTTAGGAAAGTTTCGATTATTGATTCAAATAGTGTACTAGTATTTGCTTTGACCTTTGAGTCAAATGCTGACAGTCCTCAGATATTTCACAATATTTCTCATTGTTTTAATGTTGTAAGGTCTGCTTGCGCTGGTTAGTTAGCTATAGTGCCACTCTATATGCTCCCAAAGGAGCAGGGTAGTGAAATCCTTTGATCCATAGACTTTTCCGACAGAACGAGCACCGGAATTGTTTTAGTCGTCTGCGCTGGTCACGTGGTATTTTAATACGAAAGCATTAACTGTCCCATGGTGTGAGCCTACGTCATCAGTTTGAAGCGTGAAAACAGCACCAAGTTTCCGTGATCCCAAAGATCCCATTGTCTGACGTGTGGCAACGAGGCTCCCATTGGCCGCTGCGCGCGTCAGTTTCAACGATTGCCGCCAGATGGCACTGCGTGTCTGTGCCGCCAGCGCGCCTATAAAACTAACCGCTGCAACCCCATGCCACTACGGGCCCGCGCCGGTTAAAACGGACACGTTGGCGCGTGCTTGGAGGCTTCTGCTCGTCTCGCCGCCGACCAACATGCCGTCGCCTTCATCATCCACATCGTCGGCGGTGCTTCTGCTCGTCTCGCCGCCGACGAACGTGGCACCACCTTTAAAATACAGATTGTCGCCGGTGCTTCTGCTCGTCTCGACGCCAACAAACATGGCGTTGCCTCAAGCATCCACATCGTCGGCGGCCGCCATCTCGACAGGGGAAACCTGCCTGTCCATGCAAGTACACCGCAGACGAACTAAGGGAGCAGAATAACGCAGCATACCAATCGAGGAGGCAGGCCGGCAAATCCACAATCGTTGTCAAGTCTCCGAATACACGCCGGTCCTGAACGAGCAGCGGCTCAACACACGATAGGAAACAGAAGAACGCCATCCTAAAGCATGCGGCGCAAGCCGATCACGATTCAAAGCGTCTCGGGCGGCAAGAGTGCAAGGTCCTCCGACAACGCGAGGCCGGAGCATTAATTCGCAGGCAGCAGGTGCTGACAAAGGCAAGGCGGAATGTACGCAGTGGGGAAGCCGAGGCAAGAGCGAAGATGGCACCAGACGGCCACGACCTCGGCCGCAGCAAAACGTGGCCCTCCACTCAAGTACACCGCAGACGAACTAAGACCGGAAAAATGCAACGAAACGCGCGAAGAGGCTGGCCCCATTGTTTCAGGCCTACAGCCGACATGTGAATGAAGGAACTCTAGAAAATTAACCCGCTGCAATTTCATCACAAAACTCTAAAACATACCCCGCAGCACAACTCAAAAACATTACTCGCGCCACAAAACTCCGCGGCGTTCCATTGGACATTCATGCTTTTGCATTCACAACTCATAAGAAGTGTGCAGGTGTCTTCCAACTTGTTCTCCCCTTCACTCCTTTACCAACGTTTCAGAATCTGGATGCGTTGTAATAAGAAAACGCATGAAGATGGATTCTATGCAAAGAATGAACGATTCCAAAGCGTAAGCCTATTTCAGTTTTAAAATTTATTATGACTTGAATAACACTTAGTAGAAAGTTTGGCAGAGAGAAGACAGCCCCGAAAAGTTTTAGGGGGGATAAATAGACTTCTGCAGCAGATGACTTGCCACCTCAAGTGGCAAGTCGAATTAGTTGGTACTAGTCACATGAGCGGAAGTTTAACATGGAATGTGTTAGTATATGGCTGGCACCTAACCGTTTCCAGTTTCATACTTCAGTGATAGAAGATGCAAGTACTGCATCAGCATTCGGCTGATGCAGCCAAATGCTGATGCAAGAGTAGCATCTGAACTGGGGGCCTTGCGCTGGCCTCCAGTGGGTGCCTTACTCAAAATCTAGCACTACAGCATGCAAAAAATCAAATATAAGATAACTATACTGTTAGAACTTATTGGATGTTACTATATTTGTGCTAAATGGGTTTTCTAAACAATGCCTTAGTTTTGTGGATAAATATATTATCGCAAGACCCTCGGATTCACACATCTGGGAAGGCCACCATGTTTAAAAGTCGGTGACATGGTCTGCCCACATTTCCTAGTGGCGCGGCGTCGCAGCCGGTGCAACTGGACCGTCCCCTTGCACGCCCTTGCAGACCTGACTCTCTCAGCACCTTGGCCTTCAGCGCTTCAGCTTTTTCGTTTACCTTCTGCGTTTCGAGCACATGGTTTCAAGACAATTGCATATATGGTATCGCTAGCTTTGTTGGAGTCTTCTAGTTTCCAACATGTCTGACACTAATCACGGCACATGCCACCTCGGTTTCTCCGAGGCAAAGTGCCAGCCTACAGATTCCCAGGTGGTGGGTTCGAATCCCGGCCGAGGTGCTCGCAACCTGACAGAGACTCATTGCGGAGACGGCGCCGTGTAACTGAGCTGTCTCCCAAAAAAAATTATGTATGGCAAACATAAAAAAAAGATGTATGGCAAATCGCTAGGCAATTGTGTTGCATATGTGAAACGTTTGGGTTTCATCACTCAGTGGTTACACTTTATAGCCAAGCACGTTGATGTTAGTCCGTGTAGTGGGGAATTAGTCTCTAGTGCTCAAACTCGGGTGTCTAACATCATTGCTCACGCTGTTCATCACTGAGATTTTGCGCAGCTAAATGCCTACGTTCACGGCGCTCTTCATTAACTTATACCATACCCACTTATAGCAGTTCCTGGAATGACGCAATACCGCCAATCACTCCTCTGTCAGTGTGCCCTCGCTCAATCACATGAACACCTCATCCTCACCCACCTCTGGCCACGTGACCTCCCCCGTTAGCCAATCAGCATCGAGCTTCCTTCGTTCCTCCTCTCTCCCCGTCAACCGATCAGCGTCGAGCTTCGCGGTTGCTTCAATTTTTGGGCTTCACGAAATGGTCAAAGGTTCAAGGGAGTTTATTAACTGCCATACAGCCGAGAGCCTGAGGCAGCCGAAAGGCAGAAGCCCGTACAAGCCAGGGCTTAAAGTCTGGGGGGTCTCAGGGGGTCCCAGACACCCCAGTGATTTTAACGGATGGTCTAAGACCCTCTTCAACAGCCCCAGCATTAGTGACATCAAAATCGTATCTTGCAATAAAATAGCTTGTTTTTAGGGATGTGGCATTTGGTGATTAGCAACTTGAGGGTTGCAGGTACAGCGTGGGCAGAGTCAGCAGTAGGGTTTATTTTATGTGAATCTAGTATATCTCATCAGAAGTTAGAACCCCCCTCGCCCCCCTTACCTTCTTGTAGAGACCCCCCTCAACTTACGGGAGACTTTAAGCACTGCGTAAAACCAAGTATTGGCTGCCTCCTTGGCTGTATGTTAACAAGTGAAGAACACATGATAATGATAACACATACGTACATGTGAGGTGGGTTGTCTACAAAGTTCAGCTGGTCACAGGATTCATACATCACTGTACCGCGCCAAGTTTTTGAACCCAGCGACACTTTGGGCCCTCCTAGCATCAATGGCAAGGAGTTCCATATCTCGGGGGCTTGGGCAAAGAGGGTGGAGGAGGTACTACTGGTGCGTGCAAGGCATGCACTGATCAAGCTTCAATGGCCTTGACCGCCGCAGGTAACCTTCTGGGATGGGACAGTCACCGAGCAGAAACTTGTACAGGAGTACCCACCTAGAGAAGAGTCTACGTCTGTCAATTCGAGACCACTTAAGGGTCTGTAAATTCTGAGCAACTAGCCAAAGAATGTTTCACATTAAAATCCCCAGGTGATTGAAGTTAATCCTCAGTCGTCCGCTGGGGCATCCCAGGTGCCTTTCTTTGGTTTAGCATGTATAGGCCAGTGTGCTGTTTACAAACAAGCCCAGACGAGGTGTGGGCAGACGCATGTGCGCAGTAACCAGATTCGCGTCAAGTAGAGCGTCTGTGCATGCGCCCTGGCAATAGCAACGCCACCACAGTGGCGTGACGTCAGTGCCGCGTGTTAGTGTATAACTAGGATTCCGTGTTTTCGGATAAACCCGAAAAACATCCCCCGGTAAAATTTTGGTCAATTCGGATTTATCCGATAAACTTCAAACGTGAATACAGCGCAAAAATTTGACAAAGGACGAGTGAAAGAAGTGCACGGACAAAGCACTGTTTTCACGTTTGAAGATGCAGCGCTTTGTCTGTGCACTTCTTTCACTTGTCCTTAGTCAAATTTTTGCGCTGTTTTCACATTTGAAGATGTTCAACCAACTTGCCCAACTTACCGCCTTGTTTATCCGATAAATTCAGAATTTCAATGCAAAACCATTAACTGTACCATGGAGCGGAGTCTGCAGCGTCTGTAACCGCGTAAAAACGGCACCAAAAACCCATAACCATGAAAGCAGCACCTAAATTGACTGCGACACTTCATATCAGATGCTTTGTTACGGAAGCCAATGCGGCCGCTCGAGGTCAAAGCAAATGCACCTCAAAAAAAAAAAAAGAAACACAAAGAAAAGTACAGTAACGCAATGCTTCGTCACGGAAGCCGTCAAGGTTCGCCGCGCCTGCGCAGTGGGGGAGCGTGATGTTACCACCGCAGCGCCGTGTGCAATAGGAAGACGTGGCACGCTGCTTGTAGGAATGCTCTCGCATTCCTACACATAAGCAGTTTTAAGTGTATTTGTCGAATTTTTGCGGCATTTTCCAACCCATTCCTCACGCCGCCATACAGGACAAAGTAAGCTGGGTATGAGGATCAACAGAAACACCTCAAAAGTAACTGAGAGTTGATATGACTGGGGTTCGGTTGGAGCTGTTATATAACATTCCTCCACGTCTAGGCTGGGTTATTAATACCTACATCGTACGTACACCACTTCAGGCAGTGGTGGTATTAAAAATATTTGTTTGTTATATTCTTTAGATGGTTGTTTAACAACACGAAAGACTCGCTGGTTGTTTTTTATATTCTTTACAACAAACAGTATTTTACAATTAGGTTTGAACAGTGCGCAGTGTCAATGGTTCTGGGAAAATGCCACCACAGTTATCTTTCGAATTTCGGACCACTGTCAAAACGGGCCCCACTGCTTATCTCGTCAAGGTTGATTCTGGATAGCAGGTCATTGTACTTTTGGGTCACGACAAAAGCCACTGTTTTGGTTTCCAGTTTGGGCCATACTATTTGTGCTTTAGAGGAAGGAGAAATTGTGTTTTTGTAGCAGTGAAAGCTATGGACCATGGAGATTACATAAAATGGGGAAGAGGGACAGTTTAATCTTCTCAATTACATCCTTTACCACTCCACCTCGCACGGCCGTGGGGTAGGTTGATGGAATAGGATAGGATGAATGCAAGCTTCCCAGCGGCTGCTTCCAGGAGCTTATTGATTTTAAGGTATTGGCGTTTACCGAAGCAACACTTGTGTGCAACTTTTGTCGTGGGACAAATTAGTAATGGCACCAACACCAAATCCAACTGAACAAATAATAATTGATACAAGCGCATTCTATTTTTTATGTAGCATAATAACTTTACACGTGGGTATTATTTGTTATCTTTATTAGGAAACACTGCAAAATTAAACTGAATTTCTGAGAATCGGGAATTAAACAGAAATGAACTCCGGTAAACTCCGAATTCTGGGCATGAAATAAACTCCGAAACACACCCTCCGGATTTTACGAAAAATAAACTCCGAAAACATAGTATAACATGTATAACCCTAGAATTTTTGGCAGCAGCGATGAGAGTAATTGTTGTCAAGAGATGTTGGAATTCATCTTGGGACACAGCACGAACAACAGACGTGGACGAAGGCGCAGTTATGTGCGGTACCAGTCATGCCATCATGCTGTGAAACGAAACCGCGTTTTTGCGCGGCGTGAGTTACTTTGCGAGCTGAAGTACTTGCTCCAGAAAGCAACGGCCATGGGAAAAGTATATTTGGTCCCTGCCTTCCAGTCACCGTGGTCGCGCGACATCGGGTGTTCCCATCCCCACGTCGCTGCAGATATGGCTTCTAAAATGAAACTTAATACCACCGCATGTTCATCAACATTCCTGTTCTTGTTTAAATCATACGTTACTACAAAAATCCCTCTTTACCTCAAAGACTGCTCTGTCGAAGTATTGATTACCTAGGTATCTCTCGGTGGGCTTTCTTTCGAGAGGGACCCCGGTACGTGCAAAATCTGTGGGAAAGAAAGTTGGTGAAGAGAAGTGAGCTAAAGCAAAGAAGGCAATGTCTGCACGCTGAACCCGCACAGCGTGCTTGTTTGTCTCGGGCTCAGTCGTTGCACAAAACGCTCCAAGAACTTTTTGACCCTGGCTCGCAATGTCTTGCATCGATGCGCTCAGGTTCTTTTTTTTGTGTGTGTGTTTAGCTTGTACCTTGTTTGCCGGCCGGCAAGCATGCGCCGCTGGACTGTTTTCTGTCGTATGTTCGACAGATACATTTTGCATACAATTTTGGGAATCAGTTGGCGACGGAGCGGAGTGGCATGGTTTCGGTTTCAATCGAACAGCTGTTGTTTCTGCTCGTGCGACGAAGCATGCTCAAGCCTGCCGAAGTTGCCCTCACGTGCATGTGAACATGACTGCACGACAGAGGCACCAGCCGGGACGCTTGCAATCCATTGTTTTACGTTTGCTTACTTTTGACGAAAATCTGGCACGACGGGCACCAGTAAAACGTTGGCAAGCGGTTTTTCGGAATTGCTCGGCAATGCCTACAGCACTGTACACTTGTGGGATGTCTCAGCAGTAAAAATACAAGCAGCAAGTTCTGTCACAACATGTCACATCAGAACACAACACAACACAAAGTGCCCTTGCATTTGTACAGCACTTAAAACAAATATTTTTCTTTTCATAAGAATATCTGCGCCAAAAGCCACTTTTGCTGCTCCGAAACACTATCTTGGCTGCTCCAAAAGCCACTTTTTCTACTCCAAAAGCCACATTTGCTACTTCAAAACACTGTCTTGGCTGCTCCGAAAGGCGCTCCAAAATAGCTTGGCCCACTCACATCACTGAAAATGCAATCCACAGCTTTTTTTTTTTTTTTTTTTTTTTCCACTTCGGGGCATTTTTTTATTAGGCAGTTGACAGGGAAAGCACGGTTTGACTGTTCCAAAAATCTTCTCCATTCCAGTCTGTCTTGTTCCCGTGGTTGCCACTGCAGCAGAAACGGCGGCGCTAGCTCGGCGTTTCATCTAGCGGCGGTGCTAGCTGCATCACATTCTGTGTTACCGCTACCTTTGCCACGATAATGAGGGAAAGGGCAGTTTTTTTTATATTGTAAATTTCCAAGTCAGTGTGGAAATTGTGATTTTCTCTCATTCTTCATGTATTTCCAAGCAGAGTTGAATCAAGATGGAGCTAGCCTTGGAGAGATGGTGCTCAAGTTTGCGCTTCTCTGCTAGTCCTTTTCTCTGCCTGTTTTATCACTCTTGTTATGGTGTACGCATCCAGTAAACATGCTGCTTCTTGAATTTATTTTGTTATACTTTAGGCAGTCACACAGTTTCAGGGTTGTCGTCCTTCAGTATAGCATTTGCGCACTCGCAATGGCAGCGCTTGCCTAAACATACTATCATATGCTATTAGGCTACAACTGTATAGAGACAAGCAAAATGAAGACCATATAATGTTCTTGGGCTGAAAGGGGGTACAAGACATATCATCGAAATAAATAAGTAATCTTACATATACATATTTACCGTAAACAAATTTACCGTAAAATAGCACGGAAACGCCCACTAGTAACATTTCACAAACTTGGGAATTCTGCAAATTATACGTTAAGCGCCCGATTTGACCGGACAAGTGCCCATGCCTAGATTAACCCAGCTTTCAGTGAAAGTGAGGTGGGTGCTCCCACGGTATTTTACAGCAAGTCTCCTTTTAAGTTAAAAATCGAAACGAGTATGCCAAACTTGAAATGAAAACCCATTGCATGCAAGTCATAACAATGTTTATGCAAACCTGGTAAATAACTTTAGGGCCTCAGATGTCATGGTCTTAAAATAATTTGCGATTAGCACCGTTACTTAGTTTGAAGAACAAACAGGGTCTCCTTCTTTTTTTCTGCATGTGCAAACAATATAGCCAGCTGGTGGGTCAGGCTGCAGCTTCTAGCATCTACTTTGAACACATTATAATAGGCAAAGAGGATGGAGCCTTGCGAGGCTCTTTTCTGCCTACCAATGTGCCCCCACTAATTATTTTGAATATTTTTTGCTGTGCCATGAGTAGCCACGAATGCAAAATAAGAGCACACTACATGGTGGACAAGAAGTTGCATAGAGTTTCTGTAGACTGTTTGTTCGACGGAATTTAGAAGTTGCTTTACTCATTCTTGTATCAAACACGAAATAACTTTTTTTTTTTCTCTACTTTCTCATTGGTGTATGAATAACAAATTGGTCCTTGCTTGAATGTCTTTTCCAGGAACTTCTAGGCCTGCTGTATGAAGCAGAAGTTGCAGTTGCTCGTCTTGAGAGCCTCCGAAAGAAGTTTGGTGCTGGGCAGGAAGCAGCCGACAAGCTGGCCGCTTCCCCTGGCTACATTGCTCCGAGGAGGAGCCATTCATCAGGGACTGCTCGGCTGGCAGACACCAAAAAGCAAGCAGCAAATCAAGTCGACGACTTTGTCTTGGAGCTTGTGGACAACACCGAGGTGGAGGTCTCGGGGGCCGGCGGAGGGCCTATTGGCAGGACGATCACGCAGCTCTTTTGTGAATCTCAGAAAGTAAGTTTGCGTATTACTCCTTGCAAGTCTGCAGCTGTTTCGTTGCCTCCCCCCACAAGGCGAACCTGTTCAATTTTGAAACATTTAGGGTTAGGATGGATTTATATTTCGATAAGTGCCTTTGATTTCTTAAGGGGAGACACCCCCTGGGAAAGTCAACTTTTGATCCTTGGCTTAAAATTAATGAAATTTACAGGGTAGGCTGGTGGTCATGCTAGAGGGTTTATAACGAAATTCCAGGTCTGTCAGTTAAGTGGGAAGGTAATTAAGGCAGCTTCTATCAGCAACACTCCTGCATTGTTTAGTTAATCTATCGTTGGAAAACTATCACAATATTAAAGATTTTTATTCGCTAGATATGTAGTAGATTGCCTAGGAGTTGCACCTATGGAAAGTTTTTTTTAAAAAGTCATTGATTTCTATCAGTTTTCTCTTCTGCAAAATTGGTCAACTTTTTAGACTTCTGTGTCTCCGACAAAATGTCAATATTTTTTATTAAAGACATCTGTCAAGTGACAAACAAACTCCATAGGCGCATTCCTTGTTAAATTTCAGTCAGGAAAAGAGAAGAACGAGCCTTCCCTGTATTGCCATTATCAAACGATAGATTGACTAAAATGGAATTTATACCAAAAAGTGGAACGGAGAAAAATCTGTTCAGTGCTCCAAACCCTACCTTTTCTTTAGCTTCGGCAGACAGAAAATAATTTATAAAAAATTAACTTGGCAGTGTAAACAAGTGAAACTTTCTGGGAATACTCTCTGGATGTAGATGGATGTAAATATGTAATTTTTCAAAATCAATGTTTTTGGCAGAACTTTGTTTTCTCTGGGTAGTGTCCCCCCTTAACATATAATCTGCTCATCAAAACGAAAGTATTTCTGTACAATTATAGACTTCGAAGAACTCCATCCAAACTGGGTGCTGTGGTGGACTACAGTGACTCTGCAGCATTATGGCTTGCTCAAAATTAGGAATTCTCTGAGGGGTGCAAGAGGGGGTAAAAATTAAATGATGTCCTTCTGAAAAAAATGAAAGGCGAGATAAGCCAGTAACAAGCTTTCATATCACAGTGTGTTAAAGCCCACTTAAGACGGGGCAATTTCTCCCAGAAACTTGATGTCGCAACACCAGCAACCTGGTTCATACGCAGCAACCGAATTGCTATGATTTTCCATCATCGTCATTGCATTTTAGTTTTATTGCTCTATCTAGCAGGGACTCAAACCGTAGCCGTAACCGAAACCCGTTTAGGAACAAAATTTTTTCAGTAACCGTAACTAAAATGAAACCGTTATCTGAAATTTATAAACACCATAACCATAGCCGTAAATTATTTACCGATAGCCCATATTAACCGAAAAATAAAAATATTAGTTTTTCTCAAAAATGACCTCGAGGAGGGATCTTGAAATTTCGTGGCCATTCGACAGAGTTACCGTCAGCGAGTGGTGCATCTGATAATACATTTCCGTTCAGTCTAACTTCAGTATTAAGAACATTTCTTTGGAATTACTGGTCGAGCTTATAATAAAAAAATCCCAATTTTTAAATCTGCCACCCTCCTACGACTGCTACATGTATTTAGTATGTTTTGCCTTCAGGGTATGAACTAATAAGTTAAAATCAGAACCACCGATTTTCGTGACCTGCAGTAGCCAGTATGAAAACAAGGTAAATTGACCATCATGCAGAGCTGGCAGAAAACAAAACAGCTGGCATTCATTTCGTCTGAAACATGTCGTGAGTGACGATTTTGGAACAACACAGAAAGAAAAAAAAACATCAAAGGTTTTACATTGACGTTTCGTATAAAGTCGCCGACAGATTACACACACACACACACCCACTTACTTACCCCAATTAGAAGTTCTAAGACGTTTCTAAGTTCCTTGAATTTTCTGTTGTTGGATATCTGGGACTACTTTAAACCGTTTATTATAAAACGGCTGTCCAGCATTTCAATAAAACACATTATTGGAGAAACCAAAATAAACCAGTTATTAGGAACGTGTAACCGGTAGTGATGCAAAACTATCGATAAATTGACTATTGATACTATCGATAGTTTTTCCAAAAATATTGATAATGTAGCAGAACTATCGATAGTCAACTATTGATAGTACTATTGATAGTTTTTACTATCGATAGTCAGATTTCTGGCGACTATCGATACTATCGATAGTACAATTGATAGTTTTGCATTACTACAGCGAACACAGTTGCCGCACCGCTGCTCGCCTCCCTTCCTCCTCTCTTCGCCCAAACTCCCGTCTTCGTCATCACTGAAAGCTGAACTAAAGTTGGGATAGTAAGTGCTTGGGATAGTTGGTGTGCCATTTGAAAAAATAAAGCAAGAAAAAGAGAAGAGGGAGTGACGGCGAACTACTAGTGTCGCAAAACTATCGATAGTAAATTGTCGACAGTACTATCGATAGATTTACAATAGTCGACTATTGATAGTTTTCCGATAGTTGATTAACAATAATTTTCCGACAGTCGACTATCGATAGTTTTTTTATAGTCGACTTTTGATAGTTTTTTTACAATCGATAGTCAGATTTCTGGCGACTATTGATACTATCGATAGTTTTACACCACTAGTAACTGGTAACCGAAACAGTAAAAATTAAAACCATAAAAAACCAAAACGAAACCGATATCAACAGGAAGCAGTAACCATAACCGAAACATTTTATTTTTTGGCTTGAGTCCCTGCTATTTAGACACACAGTTATGTGCTATGAACATGCTTTTATGTCTTTAAATGGCATTGAGAATACTAATAAATCTTTCTGAAATGCTTTATTCCCAAAACAACCAATTTCAACCAGAGCCAAGCCTTCACTTGTCATCATTACCGGTACAGGGTACCCATGAAAATATAGCGTCCCTGATTGGCTGCTGCTGCTTCAAACGTCTCAGAGTTGTCAGAGTTGCTCGTCCATTTTGAGCCGGACGCAATGCGAGCAATTCGTGTCGCAGCACCAGGATCTATGGAAAGCCAGGCAACAACTAGCCAGCAACACCGAAATTGCTGGGAAAGTTGCCCCGTCTGAAGCGGGCTTAAAGGGACCATGAAACATTTTTCATCTAAGCAGTATTTTCTAAGTACTGCTTAGACATAATCACTAATGTTCATAATATTTAAGACATGCATTCATTTTTAGCTCCACGCATCAAGCGTTACAGGAAACACCGATGAATATGTATTGAGCAGTTTTAACCTGCAACTCGTGGCCAAAACAACCTATTAGGCATTCTTTCACCGGCTCGTGCCACCAATGTTCATCTCAGCTGTGTGCCTACCGTAATATCCCGAGAGGTGCCCCACTTTAAAAGATAGCCTACCCATATTTTGGCATGATTTTCTATTAATGCAAAAGCATTAACTGTCCCATGGAGCGAGGCCGGCGTTGTCTGTAACCGTCTATAGCAGCGAAACAGAACCTGAATTCCCATTAACCAAAAGCTCAGCAACACAGATGCTTCTTCACGGAAGGCAGCAGGGCGCTCAAGGTCGAAGCAAACGCACCTCAAAAATAAAACACAAAGAAAGGCACAGCAACGCAGATGCATTGTCACGGAAGCCGTGGAGCCGGCAAGGTTCGCCGCGCCTGCGCAGTGGGGGAGCGTGATGTCACCACCAGAGTGCTGTGTGCAAAAGGAAGACATGGCGCGCTGCTTGTAAGAATGTGCTGCGTGTCGGAATGCTTTCGCATTCCAACATGTAAACAATCTTAAATGTCTCTGCCAATTTTTTTTTTTTTTTTAAGTATTGAACGATAGCCCATTTATAGTACTTGGCCTGGCCAATGGTGACCTCGGTAGAAATAGTGTTACTTAGCCACGACGGGAGATAAGCAAACGTTGCTGACTGGGAACAAAGTCGAATTTGATTCATCGCACCTCTCTGCAATCACAAGTTTTGCATGTTACGAAATCTAAAACTATTACTTTTCAACTTCTTTTCTTTTTTTTTTTTTGGACACTGAAAGTTAGTTTAATTCTTATTTTCAACTCCTTATTTTCACCCGATTTGCTTTTGATTATAGGTGGGCTATATCTCAAGATATTACGGTAAGTTGCCACTGCTTGGAGCATGTGCCATGCTCAGGACATTGCTAGAGTTCGGCGACTTCCGTTTCCACACAAATTGGCCACAAATGCAAACCCTAAGTTTTGACCGATGGATTGATTGTTACTGAGTGCAAACAGACTGATGACAGATGCTCATGGCTAGTCCGTGAGCCGCATTCGTCTATGATAGATCTGGCATCGTTCGGAAGCGGGCAGATCTTATTAAAGTTGGTAAGCTCTTCCTAAAGGGAAAGAGAGAAAAATAGTCTACTCTTGTCTTCTAAAGTTCACTGCGGAAATCACATTTCTGACTTTGCCTTCATATGGTACTATTGCGGACATTATGAGCTGAAACAGCGCTCCGGCCGGCGCTCGGTACTACCTGCGCCGCCCGTCGCCTTGCTCCGCACACATGGCGCACCCTTAGTCCGAGATGAATTCTCACTTGCGCTCGCTGCGCCACTGCGCTCTTCCGGCCGTCTGCAAGCGAGACAGCGGGTGCGACAGCGGGCATGTGTGTGGTAGGGCGGCAAGAGGGGAGGGGGACTAAAGATTACACTTGTCGTTCCGCTTTTGGAATTCATTTACTTTGCTCTATCGCGCAGAATCCCGTAGAAAAAACGCCGACTGGTGAAGAAGAAATAGTAAAATGTCTCAAATTTCAGCTGCGATTATCGTTCTTGAAAGTCACATCAAAAGACGTTGCAGGTTGTTTTTGTTTGATTATAGGTGCATGCACAAAGTAGGACATCGTAAGATATAGGCCAAAATCTGTATGCCGGATTTAGTCCAGCTCCAAGGTATTTACTTTTTGTCTTTTTCATTGATCACAGACGTTCAAAAATATGGTAAGCATACATTTTACTGAGAAGGTTTTGCAACCTTGATTGGTATGAAAAGGTTAAAAAAATATTATGTATTTATTACTGTGCCCACGTGTTTGTTTCAAACAAAACAAGTTGCTGACAAGACACCAGTTATTTTTGTTTACAAATTACTAGTGGTGGGACAAACAGTCATATATTTGTCAGGAGAAGGAGATTGAAACTTAATCGAAATATTTGCAGAGGACAATTTTAGACACAAAAGATAAATAGTCGGCGCGAAAGTTCAACTGCACTCTACAAGAAGATCGGAATGAAGGAGGCATTCCACAAAATTTGTATGCGTGGTCAATGGCGTCAAACAATGTGTTGCAATCGTAGCATCAAGCTTTGTTCCAATCGGCGGAAGTCCGGTTCAGAGGGTCCTGAGGCGCAGTAAAACTTGCAAAATAATTTTATACCGCGACCACGGCTCTCCTCCTGTCTGGTAAGAAATCATAGAGCGCGGCCACGAAATCTGGCTCAGTCCGAAGCCACTCCCATTCACCTCTGATTGCTTTTTCACGATTTGTGGGCGGTGGCGCGGTGGAGGGGACGCCGTGACATGACTACCTTGGTGCGCCTCCAAATGTTTTCAATGATATTCAGATCGGCTCCTTTTGGGGGCCAAGGCAGCTTCGTCAGGCAGCGCTCCTCGACCAGATGCGAACGTGACAGCGCATTTTCCACGTCGGCGCTTTCTTGAAATGCACTGAAATAGATGTTAGCTGAAAACGTGAACATTGCGCTACACGGCACACGCATCACGCATCGTGATGGTGGTTCCGTCGGCCAATATTTTCGCTAGCAGACGACCGGAAGAGCGCAGCGGCGCAGTGAGCGCTAGTGAGAATTTATCTCGGCTTCAGGGTGCGCTGTGTTTAGGGAGTGATGCGACAGGCAGCGCAGGTAGTACCGTGCACAGGCCGGAGCGCTGTTTCAGCTCATACTGTCCGCGATAGTACCTTGCGATTCTCTGCACAATGTGCAGTTGGTAAAATTTTAGCCCAATATTGTTTCATAGTCTCTTCAAGTCATGGTAATTCTACTGTCATAGAGCAAGTGGCAGTTTCAATGCTTGGTTTGATGTTCTGTGACAATAAAGTTGACTTTTTTGATTCATGGTAAACCAAAATGTTTAGTCAGGAAGGGTTGTGCCAAGTTGTCCTTTAAGTAGGGCTCTCGAGCGCAGAGTGTCTTGGTGTTCACGGTGCAACATGATGGCATGCTGCAGGGGAGCGACTCTGCTTCGGAAAGTGAAGAGGACCAAGAGCCCAAGTTTGCCAGCCCGGCTGGGCGTGAATACATCTTGCGAGCCAGGTGTGCCTGCCCGACCCCTGCTGCCAGGGCTACACCACAGCGCCTCTACTGTGTGGTGGCTGGCAATGACTTTAGACTGGCGGGAGCCTTTACCCATGACGCCGTCTTTTACTGATGCTCCTATACTGCTAGAGGCAGCTCACATCGTCTCCTGGTGGGAACCGCAGCCCACTTAGGATGCAGGGCCTCGTTTATCTTTGGGCTTGGAAGCTGTCAAAGCGAGCAATTTGCTTTTCATACCTCTACTCCATTTCACTTTTTGAACTAAGTATGCAGCGAAGGCTATGGATATGGGTTCATAACTTTGAATTAAGCTCAATACATGGGTGCTCAAGTATTAGAAGCACCCTTCAAAGCTGTGCATTTGTGCACATAACTTTTGCTGTATACTGTTGTTAACGTAATATGGAGCGCAGTAAATCAACCTATATAGGTTATATTAATTGCATTTATGTGACTGTTTGATATCTTTTTTTTTTTTCTTTTTTGTTTAATTGGGTGAGGGGTGTAGACTGAATTTTTGCTTGCTGGAAAGTATGGGTGGTGGTCACAAAGTCTTCCAAATTCATATTCAAACTTAGATTCACTTTTTAGAATTATAAAATGTGGCATAAATAATGCTAGCTTTGTGTGCTTCTTCTATCACTTGTGAGATTAAACTACAGTGACAGATATCAAGAACAAAATTAGCCACAGTGCAGACTTAGGATTGGGGTGCTTTGCTTGGAGTACAGAAATGATCGCTGTCAAGTGCCCTGGTGATAGCGTTACATTTGACTGTAAATATACGCACTACATGTGTACATTTCCTTCTATATTAGTATGATGCCTAAGCACACGTTTATTTCTTAACAGTTGCTACCTTCAATCTTTCCCCTTTGCACACCTGTACAACTAATGTTCACTGACAATCTCGGTCTCTTTCCTTTGGTTGGTTACTGATTAAAGGTTTTTCAAAATAACAGCTTATGTCTTTATTACGTTTCTTGAAGAAAACCTCCCAGAGCCAAGCTTGCTCATGTTTTGAATGGATCGAAGAAAGGTTCTCCAATTTTTCAAAAAACAAATGAAAGCTTGCCAAAATTTTTATTAGCTACTCGGTGTATAGATAGGCTTGCATGGTCTGTTAAGAACCAGTGCTATGTAGCCTTCCTGAGCATGTTAAGTTTCAATAGCTTTTCGTGAAAAAGGTGGAAATGGCCATGAGTATTGGGGAGGAGGACAGACCGTGACGCCCCAAGCGGTTAACTTTAGAACTACACGGATGGGGACAACAAATACAATGACACTGCGTCAGCGTTCGGCTGGAGTTTGTGTTCTCCGGTGAGGGGGAAAAGGGGCTCTTTTGTGGCCACCCCAGCCTGCACGAACAATGCAGCATGCACGGTGCCCAGCTCAGCACAAAAGCCGAAGTGGGTCAAGCTCGCATTCTCTTACGACTGCTTTCAGGATATATCCAGCACTTAACGTCATTTTGTCGATTGTTAGTATTTTTTACATTGCACTGTGCCCCGCGCTCTATTGTAGAAGATGCCATGGACATGCCCATAAGGCCTGTGGGCATGTGCACAGGCCTTGTGTTGAGTAAACACCGAGGTGTGGGGAAGCAAGCGGGTCAGAGTGCCCCCTATAGTTCGATCTCCTGCCCAATAGGGTGTACCAAGCGGATTTTTCGCTGTGAAACGAGCCGGGAAAAATCGGCTCCTGCACGTACAAAGCTCGAACTTTCACCAAATGTGCTCTGAGCAGGTCAGTTTTACTGTGTGAAATTTCAAGGCATAGTTCTCTTCCTGTAAAAAATTAGCGAAAAAATTTAACAGTCCTGTGTTAATCCACAGTACTGCGACAAATCACGGCGAAGTCGTTGGCCATCGACGTCGCAATCACGCAGTATGGTGCATGAACGAAATTGTTCAGAATAAAATAGACGTCTGACCATTTTGTTCCGAAAGCTTTTGTTTCTTTTTTTGTTCTGGAGTGTACAAAGCGCATATACCGGCACGAGCTCTTGGCATTGACAGTGCTACAATGTCATTTTATTATTGACTATTTTTGTTCTTCCAGATGGCACGTGCAGTGGCCATTGGGTACTACAAAAACCCTAAGTATGGAGTGGGTTGTTAATGCTGTTGCATAGCTTGGTGGTAATGCCTCCGCTTCGCACGCAGCGAACTCAGATTCGATTCCCTCGGGCAGCGGGCAATCTTTTTTTAATGATTTGGCAACATCAACGACGGACGCCCTATATTGCCAACTACAACATGAACAACAGCAACTACTGCAACAGTTAGGTTAGGATTAAGATTTTAATGGCGCAGCGGCAACGGTGGCCATGATGTGCCAAACAAAATGTGTTTTAAAGATCAAATGAAACAGATGCTAGGCTAGAGAAACTTTTTATAACTGGTGTAGATATCCAGTTTTGTTAATAAAATCAAAAACTCGTCTGAGTGGTACTAAGGCATTGTCTCCAAGTAAAAACATAGGATGAAAGGGAAGATGGTTTCTAAAGAGTTCAGGAAAACATGATACGTGCAGTTGATGATAAAACCTACATTCCCATAGAATGTGTAAAACTGTAAGTAATTCCCCACAATGGGCACAAACTGCAACATCTTCGCCACTTAAAAGGTATGTGTGTGTCAAACGTGAATGGCCAATTCTCAAGCGGCAAAGCAGAACCTCAAGGTGGCGGTTCTTGTGGAATGAACTTTCCAGATGCCTATCATGGGTTTTATTACGTGGAGCTTATTATTGGTTTCAGTGTCCCATTCTAGCTGCCAAGTCTTTAAAAGAGATTTCTTTAGAAGTGGTTTAAAGTCCTGGTAGGGCAGGCCAAAAGATACTATTGAGTGTGTGGCAGATGCAGCCAGGCGATCTGCATTCTCATTTCCTGCGATTCCTACGTGACTCGGTACCCAGCAAAATTTGATAGTGCATCCAAGGCGAAGAGCTCTGTTTACTTTAATACAAACATGTTGTGTAAGTATATTCTTTGTAGAAACTCTGGAAGAAATAGCAGATAAGACACTTTGCGAATCGACAAAAGTGACTGCGTTCAATACATTGTTGTCCAGAATATGCTCAATGGCTAATGAAATACCATAGAGCTCTGCGGTGAAGATGCTTGCCATTGAGTCAAGCTGCACAGCTCTTCCAAAGTTACTAGAATAAACTGCACAACCAACGTGACTTAAAGATTTCGACCCGTCGGTATAGTACTCGTTGCAACCTCTAGATACCCTTTCTTGCAAAGATAGAACCTCTTTCTGAAGAAACTGTGGAGCAACGGTCTTCTTACTGTATTTGGTGAAAGACCAGTCACAACATACGGGTAGCTCGTTCCAAGGGGCAATTCTCTCAATAGATTTTAGCAAGTTAACACCACTTGTGGAAGGGACAGGGAGGTTGAGAGAGCTACAGATACTTTGAACTTGAAAGCCTAGGGGGCGCACAATTGTTGGCTTGTTTTCAAACAATTTACAGAACTGAGGGGTGTGTAAAATACTATAAGCAGGATTTTTGGGATCCGAGAGGACTTTGTAATAATAACACAGGCTCAAGTACTGTCGCTGTTTTCCAAGAGACATTTGATGTGTGTCCACATACAAGCTTAATACGGGTGATGTGCGAAATGCCCCAGTGGCAAGCCGGAGCCCAAGGTGATGAACCGGGTCCAACATCCTTGGTGTGGAAGGTCGTGCTGAACCATAAACGATCGCTCCATAATCCAGGCGTGACCGAACTAAAGCATTGTACAACCGTAGGAGGCATCGCCTGTCAGACCCCCAAGATACATGTGACAGCACCTTAAAGATGTTAGAGGATTGCAAGCACTTCTGCTTTATTTCCTTTAAATGAGACTTATAAATGTAAGCTTTTTATCAAAGATCATGCCTAAAAATTTATGTTCGTGCTTCACCAATATTTCTGTGTTATTCAATTGTAAGATTGGATCCAAAGATAGACCTCGTCGCAGGGAGAAGGGCACACACACAGTTTTCTCTGGGGAAAATTTAAAACCATTTTCATTTGCCCACTTGCTCATCCTATTTATCGTGAGCTGCAATTGCCGTTCACAACTGGAGAGGTTGCAAGACGAAAAAGATATTTGCACATCGTCCACGTAAAGAGAGTAAGAAACGGATGACGGTATAACTTGAGCCAGACTGTTTATCTTAACTGCAAATAAAGTGGCACTTAAGACTCCGCCCTGGGGGACACCATTTTCTTGTAAGAAGACACTGGATAAAGTCAAGCCTAATCGAACTTGAAATGTACGTTCACTTAAATAGTTCTGTAAGCAACGGTGCATGCGGCCACACACTCCACAGTTGTACAGATCTCGAAGGATACCATACCTCCATATAGTGTCGTATGCCTTCTCTAAATAAAAAAAACACGGACACACAATGCTGCCGGTGAACAAAGGCCTCGCGTATGACGGTCTCAAGTCGGACCAGATGGTCCATAGTCGACCGTCCAGCCCGAAAGCCACACTGGTTAGTGTCGAAAAAGTTTTTCTCAAAAAAAAACATAAGGCGGCGATTTATAAGCCTTTCATAAGTTTTCCTCAAGCAGCTTGTAAGTGCTATGGGGCGGTAGCTTGTAGCCAGAGAGGGATCTTTTCCAGGCTTCAGCAAAGGTATAACGTGGGCACATCTCCAAGTATGTGGAAAAGCAGCAGCTTCCCAAAGGTAATTGAAAAAGGATAGCAGGTGGTACAAGGATTCATGAGAGAGTTGTTTGAGCATCTTGTAGTGAACTCTGTCTGGCCCAGGTGCAGACTGCTTTTTTAAGCTGAGAGCAACTTCGAGTTCACACATTGTGAATGGTTTGTTGTACAGTATGCAACAGAGTTAAAGCCTGACATAGTGAATTTCTGTTTTTCAGCGGTAGACCGGAACTTTACAAACTCCGTACTGTAATTGGAAGAGCTACAAACACGCTGAAAATGTTCTGCGAGGAAGTTTGCTTGCCCTGTTAGAGATGCTGAGATCGAAGGAAAAAGTGGAATCCTGAAAGCATGGTACTGCCCGCAAGCTTTTTTGAGACGATCCCATACTTCTTTAGCCGTGACAAAACTATTTAAGGATGAAACATACTTTGTCCAAGATGCCCACTTTGCCCGTTTTCGCGTCCACCCAGCTTGTGCTCCTTTTTTCCTAAACTCGATCAAGTTACGGAAAGTTGGATACCGCCGAAAAGTTCCCCACGCCTTGTTCTGGCTTTTCCGAGTGGAAGTACATTCCTCATTCCACCAGGGCTTGCACCTCCGGGGAAGATTTCCTGAAGTCTGTGGAATTGAAGCGGAAGCAGCATTTATAATGCATTCTGTAACGTAAAGCGTCGCATCCTCGGGAGTCATATGAAGAAACAAGGAGGGATCAAGTGCTGCTTCTAAACCAAAAATAGACCAGTCGGCCTTTTCCAACTTCCATCGCGGGAGTCAGGGCCGTACCCAGAAAAAAATTTCGGGGGGGGGTTTTCAGGGACAACGGCGGCCATTTTGAAAATGTCTATTGTCTTATTTTCGCCTATGAATCATGTGCATCGGTGGCATATAATGGAGAGTTATAGCAAACCGGAGAACCGGTCCCGGTTTGGTACCCGGTAGCCGACCGGTGCCACTGCGCGTGCGCAGAGGTGGAGATTAAAATCGGCTGGCTGCAAGTGCACCGACCAGGGCCGTACCCAGAAAAAAATTTCGGGGGGGGGTCAGAACCCCCTATCCCCCCCCCCCCCCCTGGTTACGGCCCTGGCGGGAGTCGAGTTGGTATCGATGAAACTGGTAAAACGCTCTCTAAAATTATGGGTAGATGGTCGCCGCCAAAAGGGTTGTCTAAAACGTTCCATGAAAAGCATGGAAGTAGAGATGGTGATGCTAGTGATAGGTCGATTGATGTAAAAGTGTTGTGGGCAGCACTAAAAAATGTAGGTTTTTTCTTATTCAGTAAGCAGATTCCAGTTGATAATAAAAGTCGTTCAACAACTCCACCTCGGGAATCCTGACGAGAGCTTCCTCACAAAGGATGGTGGGCGTTAAAATCACCAAGGATTAAAAAAGGTTTGGGGAGTTGGTTGATGAGTGCTTGGAGTTCATGAAGATGAAGCGGAACATTAGGTGGCAAGTAGAGTGACACTAGAGTGATCAGGCGGTCAAGAAGGATGCGAACTGCAACTGCCTCAAGTGAAGTTTGTAATGGAACTTTGGCACATGCCACTCCACTCTGAACCACCACTGCTACACCACCCAAAGGGCTTGAGGAATGGCGGTCCTTTCTAAAAACTTGATAATGACGCAAAACCTGCGTGTGCGAGTCAGTTAGGTAAGTCTCCTGTAGGCAAATAGCAACAGGGCAGAGCTCATCAAAAAATGAATTGATGTCATCTATGTTACGTAGAAGGCCGCGACAGTTCCACTGCATAATACCTATATGCTTAGCCAGTGTGAAGTGATTATAAAAACCGGTAAAAAGTTAAATGAGATGACTATGGGTTAAAATCTATCTTTTTGCGCGGTGCATTTTTCTTCTTTACAGCCTCTTTCTGCTGGCCAGTGGAGTCACTGGTGGCAGAAAGGGAGGAGTCGGATCCCGCGAGGAGACTTTCCTCGCCGGGCTTGGATCCACCCTCGTCCATACGCTCCTCAGGGGGAGCCGGGGGGAGACCCGCTGGGGTTGGCAGCCTTAACGGCTCACTAGCTCTCTGCTGGCTCAAGACACGGGGTTGCCCCCGGCCTTTCGGGGGCAGGGGCGGCGGGGGGTGCCGTCCCCCGCTTCAGGGTGGACGTTGAAGGAACAGCGTCCACCGTGTCGTTGGGGTGCAGTGCAGCTGGCACCGCTCCCGTGGGTTTTAGATGGGACACTGACGGGAGACACACTCCTTCTGGAGGAATCTGTGTTCCCGCCGACGCCATCATAGGCTGTGCAGGTCCCCTGCGCATGACCTCGGCATATCCTCCTTTTGATAAGAAGGAAAAACGTTTTTTTGCCTCATGGTAGGAGATGTTTTCTCTGGTCTTCAGAGTCAATATTTCTTTTTCTTCTTTCTATTTCGGACAAGAGCGTGAGTAAGCTCGATGACGACCTTCACAGTTGACACATCTTGGATCGTTCTCGCAACAGTCAGCGACATGCTGTTTACTGGAGCACTTCGTGCAAGTATCACTTCCTCGGCAGCTCCGTGACCCATGGCGGAACCTTTGGCACTTAAAGCACCGCTGAGGGTTCGGCACATAGGGGCGAACACGGCACTGGATGTAGCCTGCCTTTATGATCTCTGGAAGTGTAGTGGCGTCAAAAGTCAGTATAACATGTCTTGTTTTTTGCTCCACGCCCTCACGACGAAGGGTGATGCGTCGAGCAGGTACTCCTTGGTCTGAAAGGCCTTCGACAAGTTCCTCGTCAGATGAGTCCATTAGGTCGTCCTCCGAAATAACTCCTTGAACTGTATTAAGTTTACGGTGTGGAGTAACGTTTACTTTATAGTCAGACACAGCATTGAGAGAAAGAAGGGCCTCACTTTGCTTTTTGGTGTTGATCTCAACTTCGTCCTCGAAGTCATCCATGACGCTATCATGAGAGTCTTCAGGCTTGTGATGTGGTTCGGCAGATCCAGATTCATCCTGGTTAGGCTGTGGTGGATTCGGGAGGCTCATGTTACGTGGCCCCCGTTGGGCGGAGTCGTAGCTCCTAATTGGGTGCGGAAAGGAGACGTCTTCTTGAAAAACCAGGGAAATATTCGGTCAATAAACCAAGAAATAACCATAAAATAAGGTAGACTTCCTAGAGCGACAAATTCAATCGCGCCGGTCCCGTCCGGAGTGCTAGGAGCAGCGGCTGACATGGGGGAGCGCCTGGGTTGGTGCGATTGACTCGAAAATTATACTTAGTACTATTACAGGTCAATCTTCATTGGTTGTCACTCTAGGTTGACCTCTAATTTTGAGAAGCTATGCCGAGAAAGGGAAAGAAAGAAGAAATGCGGGTCTATATTTGAATGAATGCGGTAGCCAAGGCAGTTCCCGGTGCAGCAGTCCATCGAAAGGGCAGCGAGCTTTCACTCGAGTCTGGTTTCAATGCCGCTAAAGCGCAGTGCCACTTATAAAGCACGACTGTAGGTTTTCATAATATTTGAGGAGTTTTCTTTCTGAAAGAGCCAAATCCCAATTGAAGCGAAACTGAGATAAAGGGGAATGTGTGCTTATCAGACTAGCTTTGAGCTCTGTACCGCGATCACCTTTACATTGGTTTTGTCTTGCATAATTTGACCGATTTCAGACTAATACCTTTTGGAAACGATGAACCCCGGACATACTACTACGAATTTCAGCCAAAATTGGCTTAGTTTTGGTTTCTGGATTTAACTCGTTCAGAAAAAAATAAAAATAAAAAAAACTCATTTGTGGGTGGTGGTTTTTGCAGTTTATGATATCATAATATTGAGCTTGGTAAGTCCAGAAAACTTGGGGGGACATCTTTTTAGTTAAGGACATTTTAGCAGATATGCTGGTTTTTGTTGGCATTTTGAAGGAATAATGCAGGCTAAATAAGCTACCGAGTGTAAAAGTAGAAGTGGGAGAAAGGCTTTGCCTCATCTGAAGTGTTGCACTAAGCCCTTTTTTTTTTTATTTTTAGTAATATCCATTGTAAATGGAACCTACTCTGACCTGAGCTTTATTTCTGAAAAGAAGGCGGTGTGTTCCATTTAGCGAAGCAATCACTTTTTTAAAATTTTCATGAGATATGAGCAAACCTAGATGTTGACATCTGCTCCAAAAGCATCAGTGGCTGCTCCAAACCAATAGTTTGCCTACTATGAAACCTGCTACAAAAGGTCAAATGCCTCTTCCTTCACTGATATTGTTACGTGGCTTTGAGTTTACAATAACTACTTTAAAAAAAAAAAAAGTAATCCACGTGTTAGCGATCGGTGATATACCGATGTGACAAGTATGAGGGTACTGTGAGGGCATATAGGAGTAAGTTGCACTTTTTAATAAAGCACAAAATAAAGGAAGATACTCAAGTGACGTAGTATGTTCGTTCAGAGATCCCTTTATACACCGACATAGTCCCTGGGGCTGCGAGCTCTTATCAAAACATGTTATGAACGTCTTCACACCCATACAGAAAAAGTCCCCCTTCAATTCTCTGCAACTGTTTGAAGACTGTATAGTCAGTTTTCACAGCCTCATTGGTTTGGAATTGCACATTGTCAACTAACTCGTTTCTCATTCTACCGAACAAATGGTAGTCGCATGGGGGTAAATGGGGACTGTACAGTGGATGTTGCAACACCTCCACTTTCTCGTGAAAACTATAGACCCCGAACTGGTTGCACAGAACTAGAGGGAACCTTTTTCTTTATGTGTATGGAGGAGTTAAGCACACATCCCGTTAAGTATTTACAGTGGTTTTCAACCACTAATGTTTTGGGTACCCCTTTTAGAATGACGGAAGTGATGGGAGACTCCATTCACCAGAAGGGAGGAGAGGGTACTGGATGATTACGACGACAGAAGGGTAAATGAAGGAAACTAAACACATGCAAACCAGCTTTGAAGCTCTGGAACAGAGAATAATCAACCCTACTCACTGAGTGCACATAGTTCGGTCTATTTAGCTTTTTGCGACAGCCAGCATCAACGAAAGAAAAGGTTTAGTGCTCGGCTTGACTAATTGTCTAAGATAGGGGTCTCCAAACTTTTTCGCCAAGAGGCCGGATCAGGGATCTGTTGCTGTCTCGAGGGTCAGAAAAGAAATAAGCAAATATATATGAGGAAAACTGAATAGATAATCCTAAGTAAGCAATTATTGAACACCAAACTGAATGTTGGAGTAAAAAATAAAAGGAGAATGTAAGGTGGATCAATACAACTACTTTATTTTAAATGTCGTGTTTAGCGGTCAGAAGACCTCAGCGCGTCGGATCTGGCCCAAGGTTCGGAGACCCCTGGTTTAAGGCTTCGGGGACCCCAAGAAAGCCTTCGGGGACCCCGAAGGGTCCGCAGACCCCCATTTGAAAACCACTGCCTTAGATGGTCATGTATAAATATTAATAAAGGCTTATACCTTTAAACTAACATACCTGATGCGAGTAGTATCTCTATTTTTGCATTTCGTTCAGTGTACCCTACTTTTTTCTATATGCCCTCATACAAACGACAGTTACTCAGAATTTTGTGCATCGCAAATATTCACGGATACCAAGTTTTCCACAGTACAATTCTCAGATATACAGGGTGTTTCAGCTAACTTGTGCTAAGACTTGAAAAAAGCTGGTGGCTGGTGCACACCACGTGTGTCGAACCAATGCAGTATTGTTAACATTCCTATTAAGCAAGTCGATATCTTTTGCAATGTACCAAACTGACTAATTACCAGATTAATTGGCTAACTTTTTATATGGTAATTTGGGCACAAACCCTCCAACACAAAAGTTGTAGAGTATGTTGAGGAACATCTAATTGCATCATTTCCATCAAGGGAGCCATTTTGTGTCTCATTTCTTTTAGCTCTAAAGAAGGCGCGCAAGATTTAAAAGCGTGCCACGTGACTACTCGCCAGCGAATTGTAACGTTAGTGCCTTGTCGCACGGAACTTTTTGTGTGCTGCCATGAAGCAATTATGTACACATCCAGGCATTATGCTTAGCGGGAAACTCTTTCTGCATTATCTGCTATGGTTCCTATTTTTTCACCTCACCTTGCATTGGTACATTATCCGGCTATACCTATTTAGTATGAGAAAAAATGTACCGTGCAAAGGATTCCATTCAATCATCATAGCATAGCAGGGTAAACATACTACAAATGATTTGTTACAAAGAAAGTTTACCTTTTTACTTTTTTGGTGGTCCACAAACTACACCTAGGAGCAGGGTTAGTGGACTAAATATAACATGTCTCTCTCGGAGCACTCCTTCAAAACGTAGTCTGTCAAAGGTCCATCAAGTGCCTCGTAAAACTAGCTTGATGTCTTCCATACTTACACCCATCGCAGGGTAGCCACCTGAGCAACATGATCGGAAGGAAACAGAATACTCGGCAGTCCCTCGTGCTTTTCAATTTCTTCCTGCGGAGGCATAGGCACCATTTCCTCACGAAGTAGCTGCTCGTAGTCATAAAAGATGTAGTCCAGGCAGCCCTTGAAGTTTGGGGTGTAGTTGGTGTAGACCGGAACACCACAGGCACTTGCCAAAGGAATCTTCTGGACGGCTCGCAATCCAGAGACTGCTTCGTCGGCATCTGCATGACGAGGGTGGTTCCACTAGCCAGACGCTTCTCTCCGGGAACGCCAACCACTTAAACCGTGTAAAGGATAGCACTTACTGCTGCACCAGTCTTCACAATCCTCCGAGACTGAGCCAGAAGTCAGAAGCTGATAAACTCCAAATGCAGGGCAGCTGTTGAAATCTCCAGCAAAGATGACTGCAGGCACCACACCGAACTGGGTAAATTGGAACAGGCAAAAGCATGAAAATTGCATCTCTAGATGAGAGGGAGAAGAACCGAGGGTAGCAACCACATGCACAAAAGCGGCAACATGAGCTGGCTCAACGGAGTTCGGGCCGGAGGGGTAAATGTGCCGGCTGTGGATCCTCGGGTGCGTTAGACTCTTGGTAGGGAGGTTGGAATGGATGGCCATTATTACATACTGTTGAACTGTGGCAGTCCATTGCAAGGCCCCATCAGCTGGTGCTCAGTTGAGTCAGCTCATATTGCTTCCCACTCTAGATAAAGCAGGTAGGTATACAGTGCAATCCACTTATAACAATAATGAGAAAACCCGAAATTTCAATCGTTATAACCGATTATCGTTGTATCTGGAGTAGACGCTGATCATTTCGAGTCTAGAAACTCAATAAAGTGATCGTTATAAGAGGTACATTGTTATATGTGGTATCGTTATCAATGGATTGCACTGTAGATAGTGCAGACATAGGTTAATTAAAAAATCTCAACAATGCTAGAGAAACAGCACAGGTAGTTACCCGCTCACTGTACTCGCGACGTAGCCACTCGAGCAGACGAATGCAGCAGTATGCTTGGAGCAGCCTGATGTGATCCGAGTCGGGATGATAGTAGAGGTGTGTGTTTGCAACCAAGAGCAGTCTGCCAGGCTTCTCTAAGGGCTCCAGCAATAGCACCTGAAAACATTAGCATGTCACAAAGTAGTACTTTGTTTTACCATGCAGCTATTTGCACCCCCTCTCTTAATCGGGCTTACCAACATAATTGAGTATAAAACCGAGTGAGTTGTAGTCAATGACAGGATAAGAACGGCAGGGAGGTATTTCAGTTGTCCTAGATCCAGTGCAAGCTTCTTAGCTTCAGTACCACTTCGGTGTCGTGAGCTTCGAGCACATGCTGGAGGCCGGGCACCCGAAAAAGACGCTTTGCACTTATCGTCCTGTCAGTGACTAAGCTGAGATTAACTCTCTCCACTAGATGGAAGATTTCAAAGTCCCATGAGTTAATAAAATCAAAGCACTATATAATTATAATGAACATACCATAAATAACAGTATATTCGCTAATTTAATATTTGACAACTTTGACAAGCTCGCGCTTTAGGAAATATTTTGTGGGAATTAAATTTTGAGATAGAAACTAAGTTGATCACTTGGCTCTACAAAAGGGTGCTATATTCACATGACATATTTTTACAAAATTGATCTATTCGCAAAATTACAAGAGGACCCTTAAGGTTTGCCTTTAAGAGTGTAACGTTGTAGCTAAATATAAACGACCCTTCAGTTATGAGCCATGTCTGGCTCATAACTGAAGGGTCGTGGGTTTGAATCCCGCATCTGCCTAAAATTCTTCAATTTTTTTCTTTAAGGCAAATGAAATGCTTTATAAAGTGAAATCATTTCAGACATGCAGCAACCTTCAATTCGCATTACATGTCGTTTCAATCACTTTCATGACGTGTCACTATCACGTGAGCATTATGGGTTGTTTGAAATTCCCACACGAGGTCATGCGGCTGTGACACAATGACCCTTTCAACCAATCAGGATTTTTCCGTCTCATGTCGCCGAGTTTTCTGCGACACGAGCTCCTTAAAAGGATGCTGGAGCGGTTTTGTATTTAGGGAAACACACTTGAATCATCTTCATTTGACCTCTAGGATCTTGAATATCGAAATTATTTTTTAATTTGGTGCATGGAGGCTTCAGAAAATCATTTTCAAAAGAACCGCCAAAGGCTCTTCACAAAAGATGTTTTTGGAATCTCCGCTCTCGTGCATCTTCAGCACCTGTCAAAGCTATGCACGCACACCCTTGCTATTTTTGAAAAGGGCAGAAAAAGACGTCCAGCCGGTACCAGTGCGAGGAATAAACCTGGCAAGCTTGCAATTGCACGCAGAGTTTTTGAGCGACACGCGGTTGGCGGCCAAAAGACCCTTTTATAACGTCACGACTGTTTGGAGGTTTTTTGTATTCTCTTGCGTTTAGTTACACCTTAGAGAAAAACTAACAGGATATTCCGAGTCACGGGATAGAACTATGCTAGAATCAACCTCGATCTCATTTTTAGAAAGAAGTGTTTCACCTTCCCTTTAAAGCTATCGCTTTAAAATGAACAACCTCGGGCCCGAATTCAGACGTAGAGCACCAAGGTTCAGGGGATGACATTATGCAGAAGGAACACTGTACAGCGTGAGGTGATGTATTTGTTTGTTCATGATTCTGTGAACTCAGTGGTACGCCAGTGTACTTATTCTTTTCTGGTTACCAGCACTTGTTTGTTCATGATTCTGTGAACACAGTACATACCTATGCGATATTAAATGAGCCCTACAATCATGCCAATGCTATGCCTCCTAACTAGATGCCTGTCATATGAGCGCCATGCGTCCTGCCATACCCTCTCCTCTCTCCCTCTCCCAAACAGCCGTGATAGGCACCAACCAGCCTCCGACCACGCGACAATGACGACGTCTGTGGGAACCAGGAGAAGGATCTGCGGCAACATATCCTGACACTCATCACCAGAAAATTTATGAAGCATCTCTTCAGCAATTATGCGCTGGGAGTGATGGACAGGAATGCTGCCGTAAAGCTTTTTGAGCTCAAACCTCTATCCCACAAACTCATCTGGCGCCTACATATTGACAGCAGAAATACCCAAATAAATTTCTGCCACAGTGAATTTGCATTTCTCACATGTCTTTTAACATAGAATGTGTGTCTGAAATGCCCTTTTGAAAACCACACGTGAATGCCAGTTCCTGAAACACTTTTGCTTTGTAGCTGCAACACTAAAGACTCGTATTCATGGACGATTCCCTTCTGTCAGCATTGACGCACGGATGGATATACTGTAAACGGACTTACGATCGTGGGTTAAACATTTTACGAAGGGTGTGTTATCTTTCTTTGTCTTGGCCCGGATCGGAAGGTCGAAGGGAGACTACTCACGTTGGTAAAAAGAAGATGAAAGTGAGATTTAATACTTAGTGCGAATTGGGGTGGCCAGACAGGCTGAGTTCACGTTCACCGTCGCCACACAGGCTGAGGTTTTGTTCACTGTCGCCACACAGGCGTTATGGCGCAGCGAGGTGCACACTGCGTCGTACGTTGAGAGAGTCTGCTCTGCGGAGACCCCACTCGGTAACAGCCCGCTCCGCGTAACATGATCCGTGGGAGCGGCCTCGGTGCTTGGTGCCTCGCTCAGACTTCGCACGAAAGTTCTTATACGCGTAGTCACGCCGCCGGATACTAGCAATATATGTGTCGCTTACTTGTGGAAAAAGTCTACACTCGGCCGTCCTGGAGCCTTAAAGTCCTCGTTAAGTTTGAAGACACACGCAAATATTAAGGTAATAAATGAGCACACACGCAAGGAAAAATTAGTGAACGACTTCACAGTAAACAGTCTCACAGTCTAGAAGGCAGAGTATGTTTTTTTGTAGGCCTTCTAGCTGCTGGGAGCCCCTCTTGCTCGTCTCCCGAATCTTCAAAGGCGACATCGTCGTCGAGATAGGACGCTGCCAACGTCGTTGACCATCCTTTTAACTGGGAGACGTGTGCCGTCGTTGCGAACCGGCTCCCAGAACTTTGGTCGAGCTCTGCCACTCAATAGGTATCTGTGGGCAGCACCTGGGTGACAACCAAGGGTCCTCGGTACTTGGGTTGTGTCTTTGTTGGGTTTCCGGTATGTTGTGTTACTCTTCTCATAAATACAACTTCTCCCACATCGCACAGCTTTGCTGGGTAGTGCCGACGATCATACGTCTGCTAGCTTCTTTCCTCTTCCTCCAGCAACCGTTGCCTTACACGTACTCGCAGCTCGCTATGATCCTTCCATGTGGCTTCATCATTCAATGCTAGCTCCTGTAGCGCAATTCCGTAGAAGCTTGGCTGGTATCTATGAAGCAGTTCGAATGGTGTCTTCCCTGTTGTCTTGTTCACAGCATTGTTCAGGCTGCACTCTGTGTGTTTGAGTTTAACGTCCCAGTCTCGGTAGTCGGGATCTTTCATGGCTGTTGTGATGACAGGCAGCACTGTTCGGTTTACTCGCTCGACTTGGCCGTTGGCCTGGGGGTGACGCGAGGAGTTTAGTACGTGTTGTATGGTGCGTGTTGTGCAGAACTCTTCGAACACTCTCGATGTAAAGCAGCTTCCTCTGTCTTTGATGATGGTTTTAGGCAGACCTCTCTCAAGTATGAATTCCTCCATCGCACACAGGACATGCTTGGCTGACGTGTCTCGAGTAGCAAAAAGTCGCACAAACTTTGTTAAGTTGTCGACGATAACCAGGAGGTGCTGGTTGCGCTTCTTGTTTGGAGCAAACGGTCCCATATGGTCAAGGTGCACTGTCTCGAAGGGGCGCTTGCCAGAAGGGATGGGGTTGAGGAGTCCTTCCTTTCTTCCACCACGGACCTTGTTGAAAATGCATTCGAAGCATTGCGAAATGTGCTTGCGCACATAGTTGCGCATCCGAGGAAACAAAAAGTTTCGTGAAGCTTTGTGACCGTTCTGTCCACCGAAAAATGCCCTAAAAGATTGTGGCACTGTACCACTATCACTTTACGCATTGCCTTGGGCAGCACAAACTTCATTGATCTCTGTTTGTCCTGATCAACAATGTGCATGAGCTTGCCATCTCTGAGGGCATAGTCCTTAGCTTTACTCTTGTCCTCCTTAGTACGGAGGTCTTCCGGTTTTTCCAGTATCTCGAACAGCTGGCGCAACTCCTCATCTCCTCTTTGCATGGATAGTATCTGATCCTCCAGGCTGCAAGTCAGGCACACTTTGAAGCGCCCTTCCAGAAGGTCATCCATGGTGTCACTCGAGCCTTCCACGGGCTGCCGACTCAGTGAGTCAACATGCAACATCTGGGAACCAGGTCGGTGCCTTATCGTGAAGTCAAATTCCTGTATGAGGTCATAACAACGCGCGATTTGAGGCTTCTGAGTTCGCTGGGCATTCAAGTAAACGAGCGCTTGACAGTCCGTAACTACCGTGAAGTGAATGCCCAAGAGTAGGGATTTCAGTGGATCCACTGACCAAACAATGGCCATGAGTTCCAGTCTTGTTGAATGATACTTGCTCGTAGCCTCAGTTGTCTTTCTGCTCACACAGTAGACAAGATGCCACTTATTGTCCTTTCGTTGCAACATTCCTGCCAACCCCTTTGAACTAGCGTCTGTATGCAATTCACTCTCTGCCTTAGGGTCAAAAAGCTACAACACAGGCTTCGACGTGAGGCGTCCTTTCAGGTCTTGGAAGCTGTTTTCTTGTTCTGTTTCCCACTCGAAAACAGCATCTTTCTTTGTGAGTCTTGTCGATGGTTTGGCGATCAGAGCATATTTAGGGACGAATTTTCGAAAAAATCCACTCAGTCCCAAGAATTGCCTTACGTCATGCACATCCTGAGGGATCGGAAACTGGGCAATTGCATTCATCTTGGCCTCTCCTGGCTGCATCTGCCCTCCGCTCAAGCGGAACCCCAGAAAGTCCACGCTATCTTTGGCGAATGCGCACTTGCTGAGGCGCAGGGTCAATTTTGCATCCTTAATAGCTTGCAAAACTTGTCGTAGCCAGTGGATCATATCGTTCTAGTCTTGCGCTGGGATGAGAACATCATCTAAGTAGCACACAACCACTCGTCCCCTTAGCAACCCTAAGACACGATT